CCCACACTTGCCATACCACCACTGGTTCCTGGATACTCCGAGCTTCCCCCTTCCCACCCCTCACTTGGCTACCCCTAAAAAGATTTCCTGAATACCTACTCTGTGCCAAGCCACTGGGACCCAGCACTGAATGAGGTACCAAAATCTGTCCTCCCTGCAGCGCAGTCGTGGGAGAGGGGACGAGCACAGTGAAGAAGCAGACACCAAATATACAAAACAAGTGCAGAGAGTGGCAGATGCCACGAAGAAAGATACAGCACGGTGAAAGGAGGAGGAAGGGGTGGGTGGTGGGAGTGGGTAGGCAGGTCTCCCCCAGGTGACATCTGATCAGAGCAGAAAAAGATGCAAAGGAATTTCAGGCCACAGGAAGAGCCTGTGCAAAGGCCCCGTGGCAGAATGGTGAGTACACTAGGGAAACATGAAGAAAGGAGAACCTAGAGTCCGAGGCAGATGACATGACAGAGGCCACCAGGATTATGGTGAGGACCATGGATAAGAGCTCATGTCTGACAGAGGTCCCTGGAGCTGACAGTGTGGCTGACAGGTTTTCAAAGGGTCACTCTGCTGCTGGGTCAAGAACGGACGGAGTGGGAGTGCAGAGGCAGAAACACCAGGTAGCAGGTGGCTGTTGTAGCCGTGACAGGTGAAGGCTTGGACCAGGGTTGTGGTAAGGAGGTGGTGTGAAGTGATCAGATTCATTAATCTCCGACACTGCAGGGCCCTTGAGGCCACAGGAGCCACTGAGCCTAGCCGTGTTACCTCACACACGGTGAAACCGAAGCCCAGAGAGTGGAGCGAGCTACTCACCCACACACGTAATTACTGGTAGAGCCCAAACGTCCTGACTGCCCTCGGGAGGTGAGTCTCTAGAAGGCAGTCCAGGTCAAGTGCGAGATCAACGCGAGGACGGCCTTCTCACGGAATCCAGCACACCCTTCCTTGAGCTCCCGCAGCACTTGATGCCCTGGACCAAGTTCACATTCTTCTGAGACCCCGTCTCCCCTCGGCTCCCATCTGCTGCTCTCCCTCCGTCACTCCTTGCTCTCCTGCTGTCAGTGCCGCTGCTTCCCAAGGGGCCCCTGCCACACAACTTCTTCCTCTCCCATCTACAGAGGGAACCAAAGGTGCCCCTCCTCTACACCCCTTTGCTCTGGCAGCCGTCCCCAAGTTTCCTCTGGAGTCCCCCTTTTCAGACCTGGAGTCCATGCGCCTTCATGGATAGGACACAGGATTCACGCCTCACCGCCCAGCCCTTCCAACTCCCTCTGACCCACTCAGTTTATGAGACGTGAGGGCCTGCTGCAGGCTTAGCTGGGGGCAGAGACCGCTGCCCTCCCCCCTGGATTTGAACCTGCAGCCCCCGCCCTAGCCAGCTGGAGGGGAGAGCCTGAGACAAGAGCAGGTAAGAAAACGAGTCCTGACAAAATTGCTTGAACCTGGACCCCATGCCCGAAGCCAGACCCACTCCTGAGCTTTCTAGGGATGTGAGCCGGTCACTTTCCTTTCTGCTTCAGCCAAAGGGAACCAGATTTTCTACCCCTTGTAAAAGGGAGTCCCACCTGATACCTCGCATCTGTCTCTGTGTGCTCTGTCCGTACCCACCTGCACAGCGATGACTCCCAACTCTCCCCCGGGATCCCGGACAAGCCCTCGGAGCTCCAGAGTCGCACCCGCCCACCCAGGAGATGTTTCCGCCCATCTGTCACACCCAGGCCCCTCAGCCAGAACACCCGCAGAGTACCAGTCATCAGCAACTCTTCTACCATCTCAATACGCTGGTCTTCATGGTTCTCACCACCCTCGAAAAATCCCTCCGGCCCTAATCCCTCCAGACAGAAACCTGGGACACCAGAGAGCACTCCTGCCAGGTAATCCTGATGGGGCTAAGGCCCCCGACTGCCTTCTTCTGAGTGTGTGACCTTGGGGAGATGCATGAACATATCTGAGCCTTGGGTTGTCACGTGGACTTGCTTGTTTCAATGAGATGCTGTAGGTAAAAAGCAGTCACTGTTGGTTCCATTCCTTATCACAGACATCGAGTGCATCCGTAAAAACTTCACGGTCACTGGCCACTGCCATGACCCCAGCTGGGAGCCTCCCTGTCTTTCTCTCGATGACTACTCTTATCTTCTCACCTTTGGTCTCCCCTGAGCCCTCCCCAGAGCCACTGGACTAATGGACTCCTAACCAGCCTGGTCACACAATGCCAGGTCCAGCCACCCGCACCGTGTGCTCACTTATAACCCCCTCCAAGGGGGCTCTCTGGACACTGAGGGCTGTGCTCCAGCTCCACAACCTGGCACAGCAATGTGTCCACCAAGAATGCCGATTCTCGGGGCGCCTGGGTGGCTCAGTGGGTTAAAGCCTCTGCCTTCAGCTCAGGTCATGATCCCAGGGCCCTGGGATCCTGGGATCGAGCCCCCCATCAGGCTCTCCGCTCAGCGGGGAGCCTGCTTCCCTTCCTCCGTCTGCCTGCCTCTCTGCCTACTTGTGATCTCTGTCAAATAAATAAATAAAATCTTAAAAAAAAAGAAAGAAAGAAAGAAATCCCTCTAAAAATGAAAGAAAATAGAGATCCCACATTGGCTAATGAGGCTCACGGATGAATTCAAACCCTGACTTCCCCATTATCCAAGAGGAAGGAACCTGAAAGAAGACAGAAGGAAAGAAACAGTAATGTAAAAAAATTTTTTAAGATTTTATTTATTTATCTGACAGAGAAAGAGAGATCACAAGTAGGCAGAGCAGCAGGCAGAGGGAGAGGAGGAAGCAGACTCCCCGCTGAGCAGAGAGCCCGATGCAGGGCTCGATCCCAGGACCCTGAAATCGTGACCTGAGCCGAAGGCAGATGCTTAACCCCCTGAGCCACCAGGCACCCCAATAATGTAAAATATCTTTAAGTGAAAAAAAGCAAAGAAAGAATGGAGAGGAAAGAGAAAATGTAAGAGATATAAGTTAATCCTGAGACAGGAGAGGGCTTCCTAAGCAGGACAGAACTCGAGGCCCACAGAAAAGTGACACAGATTCAGCCTCGTAAAAAGTCATCACTTCTGCACATCACAGTGAGCAAAGCTGGGGAAGAAAACATAAAAAGGCAAGATTTATTAACAAGAAAAGAATTAAAGTCCAGAATTTAGAAAAAGCGTCAAGAATTGATGAAATCACAATTTGACAGAAAAGGATTTCATGGGGCAATTTGAGTGTAAATTGATTAAACTTTTTTTTTTTTTTAAAGCATTAACTTGGGAGAACCTAAAATGCACAGAACTGGGGTGCCTGGGTGGCTCAGTGGGTTAAAGCCTCTGCCTTCGGCTCAGGTCATGATCCCAGGGTCCTGGGATCGGGCCCCACATCGGGCTCTCTGCCCGCCGGGGAGCCTGCTTTCTCCTCTCTCTCTGCCTGCCTCTCTGATTACTTGTGATCTCGGTCAAACAAATAAATAAAATCTTTAAAAAAAAAATAAAAAATAAATAAAATGCACAGAACTCTGATAGGGAATGGTATCTAAGATGTACGTTAATTTTTTAAAACTCCATAAGCAGAACAGAGTGGCAGAATGGTATACTACCATATTTAGAGAGAAAAAAAAACGGAAAACACATTTACCTACAGATGCACAGGCTATTTCTAGATGGATACACAAAAAGTGGAAAAATTAGTTGCATCCAAAAAGGGAAATGGAGGGCTGAGGTAGGAGGGAGGTGTTGACTTTCACAGCCTGTGAATGTTGTGCTTCATATATACTAACTAACCCCAAACAGGACCTATCCCCAAGCAAGTAAACAAGTAAGTCAATGAATTCAATCTTCTTCTGCACAATCTCCAGATCCCACTAAACAAAGGGAATTATGCTTAAATAAACATTTAAGATGACATACCCTTTGGCTCACCAGCTTGACTGGTAGGAGGACGTTTTATCCAGAAATGCCCCCACATGCACAGAGACGTGTTTGACTACAGCGTTATTACAAGGGAGGAAGCTGGAATCAGTAGAGGCGCCTGTAAACGGGATTGTTCAAATGAATCACGGGGAATCTCCACCGTGAAATACTATGTAGCCATTAAAAAGAATGAAGCATATCTAAGTTCTTTTCTTCTTTTAAGGATTTCACTTATTTATTTGAGAGAGAAAAAGAGAGGGAGCAAGGGGGGGAAGACAGGCAGAAGGAGAGACGCTGACTTCCCGCTGAGCACGGAGACCGACAAGGGGCTGGATCCCAGGACCCTGAGACTGTGACCTGAGCCGAAATGCCACCCAGGTGCCTGTGTTTGTTTGTTTGCTTTTAAGTAATCTCTAACCCTAATATGGGGCTTGAACCCATGATCCCAAAATCAAGAGTCACACGCTCCACCAACTGAGCCAGTCAGGCACCCCTGTGTTTTTGATATTGGAAGACATCCAAGTCCCATTGGTTTTTTTTTTGTTTTCTTTGTTGTTGTTTTTTAATTTATTTACTTGAGAGAGTGAAAACAGTGGGCGAGGGAGAAGCAGACTCCCTACTAAGCAGGGAGCCCAATGCGGGACTCGATCCCGGGACCCTGGGATCATGACCTGAGCCGAGGGCGGACACTCAACTAACTGAGCCAGACAGGCGCCCCCCAAGTCCCATTGTTAAGTTAAAAAAGTAAGTCACAGAGCACACAGTAACATATGATCCCCACTTATGTATTTTTAAAAGCATTTTCAGTATAGTAAGGCTGGTCCTAAAGCTGGCAATGCAGATAATATTTTTACCACATTGTGCAATATCGTACCAATAACCCACATATTCCGCATTCACCTGTACATCCAGACTTGGCTGGCCTATACTCAGGCACTGCAGAAGGCCTAGAAGATATTACACGCACAGTGGTTCCCTCTCAGGAGAGGAGAGGGAAGGAAGAAGTGGAGGGAATTTTATTTTCCCATATCTTTCTCTATTTAAAAAAAAAAAACTTAAAAAAATTCTCTATTAAAAAAAACTTTTATAATAATTCGTGTTTTTTTAAAAAGTTACTACCTTCTAGGCATGCTTTCCATTATTCATCCAAGGTCACATTTTGTGAGTGGTGGGGGCAGGTGCAGGCCGCCTGACCTCAGACGGTGCTCCTGACCCAGTGCTCCCTCACCTGCTCCTGGAATAAAAACCAAACCCAGACCCCAGTCTGCTGTGACCCCAGCTCACACAGAAAACGCCCCACTCAGGCTCCCGGCCTTCCTGAACAGATCTTCCCTGAAGGCCTGCCGGGCCTGTAACTGGCCAAGGGAGCGCCTACCACCGAGTGCGAACCACCATGCTGCAGGCCTTCTCCGTGTGGAAGGCTAGAGTCAGGCGCCATGCACTGGCGGAATGAAGGCCTGAGTGTAAAGTCAGCTCTTCCTCCCAGCTCCAGGCAGCACCCACAGCAATCTCCGGTTTGTTGATGCTTTTTGTTCTCAAAGAAAAACAGCTAGAAGACGCCACTCCCCCCCTCCAGTCATGCTTTAGTGCGTCTCAGGAGGACAAGTGCTTCCCAAGTCTAGCCCAGAGGCAGCAAGCTGGCAGTCTGCGGGCAACAACCGGCCTCCGCGCATAAATCGGTTGCTCTGCACATTCTGAAAACTGTTTTGAATTAGTTGCCAACTTTAAAAACATGGAACTTTTTTCCCCCATAAAAGGTATAGCTTTCCCCCAAAATTCAGGCCAAGCAACACGGTGCTGGAGCTCCGTGGCATCTACAGGAGTCTCCTTACAGGGAAGCATGCTCTCAGCACCCCCCCTCCCCGGGCCTCTGCAAACGCCCCTCCCCCCACACCAGCCCTCCTCCTGCGGGAAGGCTTCCTGACTGTCCCAGGCAGGAGCACAGCTTCCCCCACAGGACCGCACCTCCTTTGCTGGTCATGCAGGTCAGTTCCAGCTCAGCCCATGCCGCCTTCCACGGAACCCAAAGAGCTCAAGCCCTCTGAGCGCACCGTCCTCCTCCGTCTGACACTCCCAGCATGCAGGGCTGCAACGCAAAGAGATGGTAGGAGATGGTGTGAGCTCCTGAGGTCCTGGATTTAGTGTCTAAAATGCCAATCAGGCCTCTTTTTGACGGGTCCCTAATCTTCCTGCCACGGAGGCAGAGCTTTGGGGCAGGGAGAAGCCCTGAGTTTGAGGACCCGTGTGTGTGTGTGTGTGTGTGTGTGTGTGTGAAAAGCATTGCCAAGTGCAGAGGCCTGAGTTCAATCCTGGCTCCTGGGCCCAGCCCTTACCTCTCCTGAGTCTGTTTCCGCACCTCTGAAACAGGCTAACTGCCCTTCACAGGCGAAGTGAAAGAAATTTCTGAAAGTGTGTATGAAAAGTGCTTATGAGCATCTTACAGGTACAAAACAAGACAGGTGTGGACTGGAACAAGAAAAGAGGGACGCTTTGGAAGAAGTGACAGAAACAGGCGGCACAAATCCCAGTTAAAGAAAGCGGGATGAAGAGCCCCTGTCTGTGTGATCTGAGGTCCCCCCCACTTTCTGCTTGGAGGGCCTGGGAAATGCGACTCCTCACCGGTCCCCAGGCTGCAGTACGCTGGGTCTGGGTCGGAAGGAAGAGCCACTTACTTCCCCGCCAGGAGCTCTCCCCAGCTCATTTCCAGGGCCGGGTCCCAGGGACAGAGGAGGCTGGCCCAGCTGGGGAGGGGGCCCGGTGACGTCCGTCCTCCCCAGCCTCCAGCTCGCTCCGGTGGCCTTGCCCAGTTGCCATTATCCACCCTGGACACATCAAGGCACGAAGGTCCTTCCCCTCCGAAGCCACACCACCTCCCTACGCCACAGTGCGGACGACCCAGCGACCTGCTCTCGCAAGAAGCGCTTTACAGCCACCGCGCAAAGGGGACCGGAGCGGACCGACAGCCGCGGACACGCGCCAAAGCGATGCCAAAGCGCGGCTGCGGGAAAGCAGAGCCCTCGGGAGCGCCCCAGAGCGTCCCGGTTCCCCGACAGGCAGTGTCTGCTCACAGGCCTTCGTCAAAACGTGCCGCGGGCTTAGGTCTGGCCCGGAGGCTGGACGAGGCCCCCAGAGCTCAGCGCACCTCCTCCCGCAGATGGGAGCGGCGGAGGCCCCCGCCCCGCGCGCAGGGTCGGCCCCGCGACTTCAGGGCGCGCCTCTCGCCCAGGCTGGGGGGTGGGGACAGGGCGCGGGGCCCGGCGGGGACGACGAGGCTCGCCCGGTCCGCACGGATTCCAGCCGGGAGGCGAGGCCGCCTCGCACCCCCGCCCCCGTCCGCCCCGAGCGCAGCGTGAGCCCCGCCTTGAGGAAGCGGGACGCCCCGCACCGGGCCCCGCGCACGCACCGAGGTGCTCCCCGCCCCGGGGTCTGAGAGGGGCTGCGGGCGGCGCCGGACAGTCCGGCGGGGGGAGGGGGCCTGTCGGAAGCCGCGGCCGCGGGGCAGGGACGCGCCCCAAGATGCTCCCACAAAGAGCTCCGGCTCCCCCGCGGCGGGCAGAGCGGGGCGGGGGGGCGCCGAGACCCTCCCGCGCGCCCGCCCTGCCCGGAACTCAGCCCCGCTCCGGCCCGCCCGCCGCCCCCGCCGCCCCCGCCCCGCTCACCGCGCCGCCGCCGCTCAGGGCCCGCCCGGCCGCCGCCCGCCTCGGCCGCCGCCGCTTCCGCCCCCCCGCCGCGCTCGCCGACCGCGGGTTTCGGGTTTCAGGCCGCCCCGCGCCGCCCCTCCCGCCGCCTGCACGCGGACCCCGGCGGGCGCAGGCCGAGGAACTTCGCGGTGCCCCCGCCCCTGCTCGGCCGCGCCGCCCCTCCCCGTCCCTCCCCTCCCGGCTCCCCGGAGCCCCCCGCGCCCCGCCCCGCCCCGCGCCCCCGGCTCCGCGGCCGCCTCCTCCCGCTCCCCGGCCCCGGGCCCCGCCGGCCGCTCTTTGTCTCGCCCTCCCCGCCCCCCCCGCGCCCCGCCTCCTCCGGCCTAACCGACCCCGTCGCTGCGGGCTGGGCCGTCCCTTCCTCTCCGCCGCCGCCCACGTCGGGCTCCCCCGGCTCCCCCGGCCGCGCCTTTAATCCTCCCCGCGACGTCGAGGACCCTCTGCCGCCGCCGCGCCCCGTCCTGCGCCCCGGAAACCGCGCGGGGAGCGGCCGCGAGCCCCGAACCCACGGCCCCCGGAGCGGGAGCGCAGACGCGGTGCTCGGAACTCGGGGCCCGGGGCCGCGACCCCCGCGCAGACCCGCTCGGCCCGTCCGCGGGACCGGGGGCTCCGTCCCCGCTGCCCCCCCCGCCCCCCCCCCCCCCCCGCCCCCCCCCCCCCGGCCCCCCCCCCCCCCGGCTCCCCTCCCCCCTCCGCCTCCCCTCCCCTCCCCCGGCTCCCCTCCCCCTCCGGCTCCCCTCCCCCACCCGACTCCCCTCCCCTCCCCTGGCTCCCCTACCCCCTCCCCACGCTCGGCACCGGCTGAGCCGCGGCCCCAGTGCGGGGAGGGAAAGTCCCGGCAAACTGCGAGCTGCGGGCGGAGAGCGGGGCCGCGGGACCGGCGGGTCGGGACGCACAAACCCAGCTCCCCGGACTCCCGCGAACGCCTCCGCGATCCGTCTGCGTGGACGACTGTCCGGACTCGCTCTTCCCCGGGCTCCGGCCGCGCGCCCCGGGAGCGGCCCCGCCTGTCGCCCGGCCTGGAAGCACCGGTTAGAGCCGCGGTTCACGACCCAGCGCCCGGCGGGTCTCCGGGGACACGCGGGATGATGGGGAAAAGTTAATGGGGCCTTAATATTCCTGTGGGACGGACGCTCTGTTGGGTCTAGACAGGAAGCGGGAGCTGCTCCGAGTCCAGGTCCCTGGAGAGCCAGAAGCTGAAGGACTTTACAGCACTTTGTTCTCGAGATTATTTTAGCCTTTAATTCTGAAATCCCTGCATTTTGTGTTTTGTTTTGTTTTGATTCGCATTGACTCTGGCACTGGCTAATCTTTATGACCCTGGGGGAGTTATTCAGCGTTTCTGAATCTCGGCTCATTCCTGTATAAAATACACATACTCAGACCTGCCTGTTGGGTTTAAAAAGATGAAGTGAGATAATGTGAGTAAATCACCGCTAGAGCCTGAGAGCGGGGTGCCAAGTCCTCGGGAAAGGTCGAAGACACGCCATAGACCGTCCTGGAGAGAACAAGGAAAACAATTACGGATCTTTCTCCTCGCTGTCCACGCAGGACGCAGAGACGCCCTTCCCGTACCTGCTCCATTTCATCCTGACCTCTCCAGCTGGAACCCTTTTTCTCCTCCTGCTGCTCATTATCAAATATATTATTTATCACAAAGGGGTTTCTTCCCATCGCTCCTAAGCTCAGAACTCACTGTGCATTCAAAAGTAGAAACTGCTCCCAACAAATGCATCTTTTCAATTGCTCTCTTAACATTTTTTTCCCCTTCTGGAGCTAATATCGAGCTGTGAGCAGTAGTCACTCGGATGCAGAGAAAAGAAAGAAAAATTATTATCAGTTATTTCACTATCACTCTAGAGGGGACAGTTGTGTGAAAAACATGGCATGCATTTTGTGTGAGAATTTGTTTCACGAAAAGAAGAGACATAGTATACATACTAACTCTCCTTTCCCAAGTGCCTTTCATCAGTCATTCCCTTCTGGGGTCCCCAAAAGACTTCTGAACTAAGATAATGAGAGGCTTTGTCCTAGGGAATCCAAAATGCTGGTTGAAGAATCTGCATATGGTAAGACGTCTTTAAAATAAAGCATCTTGGGGCGCCTGGGTGGCTCAGTGGGTTAAGCCACTGCCTTCAGCTCAGGTCATGATCTCAGGGTCTTGGGATGGAGCCTGCTTCCCCCCCCCCTCTCTTCCTGCCTCTCTGCTTGCTTGTGATCTCTGTCTGTCAAATAAATAAATAAAATCTTTTAAAAAATAAATAAAATAAAATAAAGTATCTTTCCAGTCCGATCGTCCACATAAAACAAGGCAAAGCAAAATGGTGAGGCATGCTGTCCATTTGGCATAAAATTCCGTTCCCACACTCATCAATCACATCTCAACTCCAGTGTGCCCTCCTCAGAGAAGTCTCCCCTGACCAGCCTACAAGAGGGTCTCTAGTCTCTGCTCTATCTCAGAGCTCCCTATCCTTTTTCTGCATAAAATTTATCTCAATGGATAATATATATAATTTTTTTCTATTTATTTGCTTACAGTATCCCACCATTGGGAGATGCAAACTCCTTGGGAGCAGGGACCCTATCTGTGTTACTTACCACTATGGAACCAGGCCCAACTTGTTAAGTAAATGAAATGGAAAAATAAAAATAGATAAAGTATGTCTTCAGGGGCATCTGGTTATCAAACTTTAGGATCTGTAAGAATCCTTTGGAGATTTCTTAGATGCAAAACCAAAAGCAAGAGTGGTTAAAGAGAGATTTGATGTGGGGCACCTGGGTGGCTCAGTTGTTAAGGTTAAGTGTCATCTCCCTTGGGCTCAGGTCATGATCCCAGGATCCTGAGATCAAGCCCCACAATGGGCTCGGTGGGAAACCTGCTTCTGCCTCTCCCACTCTCCCTGCTTGTGTTCCCTCTCTCGCTGTGTCTCTCTCTGTCAACTAAATAAATAAAATCTTTTTAAGAGAGAGAGAGTTTCCCTCCGCAAAAGCGAGACGCCCCCACCAAAAAAAAAAAAAAAAAAGTCCCAGGAGGGCTCAATTCTTGTGAGTCCCAGCAACCCTTCTTGGGATATGCCTTCCTGCTTCTCCGACGCTCGGGACCCTACCAATCCCATAGCAATCTAAGGAGTCGGGACACTGCCAAGATTACGCCCCTTATCGCTTCGGGAATGGCCCGGTCCAACCGCGTCAGTCTTTCGCCGTTAGCGGCGCGACTCGAGGCCGTGGTCCTGCCTCCGAGGTCACCGCCTTCCTGGGTAGGCTTTGGCTTCCAGCCTCCGGACGTCGGTTCCTCCGGGGAGGGGCTGGGCAGAGCCAGAGCAAGGTCGGGAGAGAGAGTGTGAGCAGCGGGGGACTGGGGGAAAAGCAGAGAGAGCGAGGGACAAGTAGACTCTGCACTGAGTACAGAGCCCAACGCGGTCTCCATCTAAGGACCCTGAGATCCTGATCCGAGCTGAAATCAAGAGTCCAACGCTTAACTGACTTCGTCTCCCAGGCACCCCTGGAGTTTTTTTCAGAGAAAAGATAAGAAGCCAGCAGTTACTGCCCAACCCTCTACTGTGTATGAAAGCAAACATGACTTCATTTATTCCTCATTACAATCCTGTGAAAGAGATATACCATTTTATGGAGACTGAGCTTCAGAATGGTCAAGTCGTTTTGTTTTTTTTTTATTTCAACCCACAATAAAAAATACATCTTATATCATGATCACTGAGGAACACACAAATGTGTCTTCACTGAAATAAAGGTTTCATGAAATTAAAAAAAAAAAAAAAGAGAGAGAGAGAGAGAGAGAGAGATGTATGATGTGTTGGATTTCATCAGAATTAAAATGTAAGTGACTCCCAGGACACCCATCAAGAAAAGGAAAGACAATTCACAGAATAGAATAAAATATTTGCAAATCATATATCTGATAAGGAACTTATATCCAGAATCTGCAAAGAACTCCTACATCTCAATAATAAAAAGAAAAAAATCCACTTTGGAAAGGATAAAGAACCCAAACACATTTCTCCAAAGAAGGTATAGAAATAGCCAACAAGCACATGCTGGACATCATTAGTCATTAGGGAAACGCACATCAAAACAGAAATGGGGGCGCCTGGGTGGCTCAGTTGGTTTAGAGTCTGTCTTTAGCTTGGGTCATGATCCCAGGGTCCTGGGATCAGGCCCCACATTGGGCTCTGTACTCACTGGGGAGCCTGCTTCTCCCTCTCCCTCTGCCTGCTGCTCACCCTGCTTGTGTTCTCTCTCTCTCTGTCGAATGAATAAATTAAAAAAAAAAAAAAAGAAAAGAAAAGAAAAACCACCAGAAATGAGATTCCACTTCACACTCACTAAAAATGGCAAAAATGAAAAAGGTGATAACCGGTATTATGGAAGATTCGGAGGTGTTAGAACCCTGTGCACTGCTGGCCAGAATGTAAAATGAGGCAGCCACTTCAGAAAACACTCTGTTAGTTCACAAAATGTTAGCCAGAAAGTTTCCATGTGACCCAGCAATTCCACTTGTAGGTATTAAAGCAAGAGGCATAAAAATCTACATCCACACAGGAATCTATACACAAACACTCGTGGCAACATTACTTATGGTAGCTGAAAAGCAGAAACAGCCCAATTGCCCATTGGTTGACGGCTGGATAAAAAAATGTGGTCTAGCCGTACGGGGGACTACTATTCAGCCATGAAAAGGAATGAGGGATGACACACACTACAACATGGGCGCACCTTGAAAACGTGAGACTAAGTGAAAGAAGCCAGACAGAAAAGGTGGCCTATTGTATGAGTCCATTTCACCGGGACAGAAAAGTTAATGATCACCTAGGGCTGGGGGTGGGGGGGATGGGATGAGAGGTGACTGCTAACAGAGTTCCTTTTAGAGATGGTGAAAATGTTATAAAATTAGATTATGGTGATGACTGTACAAGGCTGTGAATATTCTAAAAACCAGTGACTTGTACATTTCAAATGGATGAAATTTATGGTATGTAAATTATGTCTCGATAAAGCTCTTTTAAAATAAAAAGAATCCCTTATGGGGTTTGTTAAAATGCCGTTTCAGGGCACCTGGGTGGCTCAGTGGGTTAAGCCGCTGCCTTTGGCTCAGGTCATGATCCCAGGGTCCTGGGATCAAGTCCCGCATCGGGCTCTCTGCTCAGCAGGGAGACTGCTTCTCTCTCTCTCTCTCTCTCTCTCTCTCTCTCTCTGCCTGCCTCTCTGTCTACTTGTGATCTCTGTCTGTCAAATAAATAAAATCTAAAATAAAATAAAATAAAATGCCGTTTTAGGCCCAGCTCCTGGAGAGACTGCCCTGGCAGGAGCTGGGGAGAGCTACTGTGTGCTGCTCCACACCCATGCCCTCTCCTGCGGGCGTGGGCCCTCCAACTTCCTTTGGGAAACCATTGCTTCCCCCGGGAGCCAGTCATGAGGTTTGCATATGATGACCTCTTCCCCAGCTCCAGGGGTGGTCTCTGATTGTCAGCATTTCCTACCTTTTCCAGTCAGACTCTTGGTTCGGGGAAGGAGATTAGCCATAGGCCTCTTGGGTCAGGATGAAGCCTCAAGGATGTTTTGCTGAGAAGGCTGGGTGGGTGGAACCAACTCTTAAGGAACAGAGAGAGTGAGAAATAGTAGGATTTAAGTCAGCTCAATCATTTGATCCTTGGAGAAGCCTTCCCTGAAGCTGATGTATCCTGGACTGATCAGTTATAGAAGGCAATAAATGTTATTTTATTAAACCACTGTGGGTTTAATTCTGTTATTTGGAACAGAAGCCATCTAACTCAGTGGTTCTCAAGAGGACACGGTGGAAATCTCTGGGGGTACTTTGGGATTGTCACAATGATTAGAGGGCACTCCAGACATTTAGTGGATAGGGCCAAGAATACCAGATGTCTTAAAGTGCATGACAAGGAGAACAGTTCCCTTCACATGTGACTTTTGAGAGACCCACAAGAAAGCTTTGCTATTTTCCGAGTCTAGCATCTAACTACTTACATCTAAGCACAAAGGGTTGGTTTAGTTTTGTTTGCATAGTTTTGTATATACCAATGCATCCAGAAATGCCATTCCTGTGTAAATTGAAGAGTGTGTTTTG